GAGCTGTTGAAAAATTATGGTCGTTGTATCAATGGTTATAATAAGCTAATATAAATATCTTAAACTATACAGTGCTAATTAAAAATTTCTTTATACTGCATTATCAAATTAAATGTTAAAAATTCAAAAATATACATTCATTTTATTTTATTAAAGACTTTCTCACACATACTTTACTCACAGAACAAGACTTGGAAAACACTAGACTAGGGGAATTTCGCTGACATGTGTGTGACCAGCAAGTAATGATCTTTCGAAGACAATATTGTTGCAGTCAAAATCTTTGATTGTCCAATCAAGCGGGGCGTGGCTGTGTTGATTATTTAATAGTGCACGTTTAAGCTTTCCCCGCAAACACATCACACTCATGGTAAAGTCATCCATTCTAATTTTTGGAGTAATCATGTTAAAAATTTTGGTTGATCTTGTATTATGGTTATCAGGTGGGTCAGCCTGACAAATAAGTAGGGTCGGCTTCCTTGTCGAGCATGTGTAGCCTTCATGTAAGGATATTGGAGCACGAAATTTCATTATCTTGTAGAGCTCGAGGTAACAGTGGTATGTATAGAGATTTTGGATAGCTAGGATATTATTATGTTTGAATAGCGGTTTAGTATGTTCTTTTATGAAAAACTTGTTGTTAAGTCTTTGGTGCCCTATTGGTCTGGTACGTGCACAGGTCTTAAACTTATCAAGGTAAGCCTCCCTATCACTGAACATAACCCTAAGACAGTACTTCTGGGCGGTAAACAGAGAGCTTATACGATGCTTCGCTGCCCCACCCCAGACAGATATACAGTAAGAGAGATGGGATTCAAACAAAGTATAGTATAGTTGTTGATGTAGAAATTCTGGAAGGGAGCAGCGAAGTCGACATAAGGTGGAAGTGGAATGATTTAGATTTCGCTTAAGGGGGCAGGGGGGGGGGGTCTTTATGAAATTTCTCTCGAAATTGATTTTATAGTTGTTTCTGATAGAGGGGAGTGATATCTACCAGATAATTTTGGTCCCATGGAAAAATTTTGTTCCTAGCCGAAATTATTGCCGGTCAAGGGTCAGCGCTCATGTGTAATTGTATTGCGCGAGCGATTTTCAATCGCGCGCCCTGAAAATCGAGTCTAAAAATCTATCTTCTCCTACATTTTTTGAGCAATCACCTTGAAACTTTCAGGATATGTTCTAAGGACCATTTAGAAACTTCTGGTCTATCAGAATTTTAAAAGAGGCCTTAAAAAAGTTTTTATTCGATTTTGAAAATCTTGGACCTCGTTTTTTGACGATTTTTTCAGGTCCAAGATTTTCAAAATCGAATAAAAACTTTTCTAAGGCCTATTTTAAAATTCTGATAGACCAGAAGTTTCTAAATGGTCCTTAGAACATATCCTGAAAGTTTCAAGGTGATTGCTCAAAAACTGTAGGAGAAGATAGATTTTTAGACTCGATTTTCAGGGCGCGCGATTGAAAATCGCTCGCGCAATACAATTCAATGAAACTAATAAATCAATGAAACTAATAAATCAATGTTTTAGCTCATTTTACAAAGTCAAATATTTAAAACAATTAAAATTGTATAGTGCTCAATTTGTAAATGACTAGTTGATCTTTGCTATTGGAAGTTTGTCAAGGACTGGCAGCTAGCGGGGCAAGGAATGCACGGGCTTAGGGGCTTTTGTGCACACCAGAACACTAGCTCGGTAGATTTTTGGAAACTAGAAGGACTGAAAACTAAAATTGTTTTTGATGGAGGCTGAGGCATGTTTTTGAGAGGGACGGTATAATAGCTTGTGGTAACAACTGGCCTTTACTTTAATAGGATGAAGTTTTAGTTTTAGGACAGGAAGAAGGCATTAAGAAGATTTGCTCTTTGTTTACAAGGCAGAATATAAGCAATGTTGGTTATAATATGTATCAATATCTAGATCTTCGTTTATCAATTTTCACTAAATGGGTTTAAAATTTTAATAGGGAGGGAAATTCATCAACTTTATTAAGTACCTATCAAAAATAAATCTTATATCAATGTAATATATTAAAAATCATAATCCTAAGTCTAATAATAAATCTGTTAAAAACACTTTCTCACTACACTGCGCTCACACACGTTAGTAAGACAAAGGAAAATGCACACCCAGCTAATTTTCAATTTCAAGATAACATGAGCGCTGACCTTTGACCGGCAATAATTTCGGCTAGGAACAAAATTTTTCCATGGGACCAAAAACATCTGGTAGATATCACTCCCCTCTATCAGAAACAACTATAAAATCAATTTCGAGAGAAATTTCATAAAGACCCCCCCTGCCCGGCCCCCTTAAGGGCTTTAATGTGTTCTTCCCATGAAAGGTTTTCATCAATTATAACTCCAAGGAATTTAGTGGATGAAACTTTTTTATCGGAAAGTTGTCTATAGTAAGTCCTACTTCATCATCTGATAGAGTCTCTGACTTAGAACCTTTCGTGGGAGGCTTGAAGTGTATGTCGCAGCACTTGGACATATTTATATGTAACTTATTTGCTCGCATGTAAGACTGCAATGATGAAAGAAGCTTATTTCCACGTTCATAGGCCTCACGTTTTGTTTTTCCTACAACAAATATATTGGTATCATCAGCAAATGTAACAAATGATCCTAGTTTAGAACTGTTTGAGATGTCGTTCATGTAGAGGAGAAATAGGAGAGGTCCAAGTATTGAACCCTGCGGGACACCAAATTGAATAGATAGGGTGTCTGATTTTTCTCCCACAACTTCGGTGTATTGTAGTCTATTTGTTAAGTAGCTTTTTATAAGGTTATTTGCTACTCCTCTAATTCCACAGCCCTCTAATTTTATAAGTAGTGTTGAATGGTCGATAGTGTCAAAGGCTTTGCTTAAGTCAATGAATATTCCTAGAACACGATTCTTAAGTTTAAGAGATTTTGTAATTAAATCTACAGAGTAATTGACTGCATGAGATGTAGAATGGGATTGCCTAAATCCAAACTATGTCTCCGATATGGCTCCTTGAGAGCTAACAAATCCGTATATTCTTGAGTAAATGAGCTTTTCGAAGATTTTACCGAAGACAGACAGTGTGGAGATAGGACGGTAGTTCTCAATTTCTTCAGGGTTACCTTTCTTATATACAGGTGTTATCTTACCAGTTTTCAGGACATCTGGAAATATACCTT